CAACAAAGCTGATTTAATACAGAGAAATTAATTATAAGGAACAAAATACTCACATGTATTTTCCATCTTAACCACTAACAGGCTGCTAGGAGAACAGGCAGACACAACTGAAGCCCAATGCAAAGAGCCTGGAAATTGTAGGGGAACACAGCAGCGTCCCCAGAGCACCCTGGCAATCTGTCATCACCAGCTTACCATCATGCCAGCCCCTGCTCTACACCCACTCTTTCCATGACTAAGAATCAATCTGACATTAGATCACAGTAGAAATAATGGCATAAAACCTGGGCTTTTAAGGGATATTCTGACAGTGGCTTCTACTTATACGAGGTCGGAAAATTAAGTTCACGACTCATCCTAGAAAAAGTGCTACATACCTCATTGCTGAATATCACTTTGGCCACCTTTGAAGTACTCACCTTGGGAAGCTGGCACCGATGCCAGCGCCAAGACCACCCTTCAAAGCAATTTTGGAACTCTTTTTCTGGAATGGCCATCAGAGCTGTTGTCATATTACCCTTGATGTCCTGAATGTTATCAAAATGTCTTTCTTTTAATATTTCCTTTATCTTCAGGTAGAGAAAGAAGTCATTAGGGGCCAGGTCAGGTGAGTAGGGAAAGTTTCCAATACAGTTATTTGTTTACTGGCTAAAAACCTCACAGACAGTACCATGTGAGCTGGTGCAAAGTCGTGATGCAAGAGCCATGAATTGTTGGCAAAAAGTTGAGGTCGTCTAACTTTTCACACAGCCTTTTTGGCACTTCCAAATAGTAAACTTGGTTAACTGTTTGTCCAGTTGGTACAAATTCATAATGAATAATCCCTGATATCAAAAGGTTAGCAACACTGTTGCAACAAGTTTGTGAACTTAATTATCAGACCTCTTATTATTCCCCTAAAATACTAGGAGTGCTCAAGAAGTATTCATTCCCATGGACTGCTCAGAAAAGGCTTTCAGAAAGTGAAGAATTTTGGTATAAACATATATGGGATTCTCAGACTCTCCAGTGTCATCATTCCTGATTGTAGGTATAGTTTTAGGCTTTACAAGTGCACACAGTCATCAAACTGGCAACGAACAGGATTATTCCATATCAAATTCAACAGCTAATACAGTAAAGGAAGAAGACGCAAGAAAAATGCATTTAAGGTGCACATTACATATGGATAAACCAAGAAGCCTGAAACATTAGAGCAGTGGTTCTCAAGGTGAAGTCTTCAGCCCAGGAACAGCATCACCGGACAGGTCCTAGGAATGCAAGTTCTCAGGCCGCCCCCTAGGCCTAATGGATCAGACATTCTGGGGAAGGACCCAGCAACCTGCAACTGATGCTGAAGTGAGATCTCTCGCATTCTCTCTCTTCCTTACACCAGGAAATTTCTAGAAAAGAATCCACTCAATTTGCATTCACCAGGTAACACCTGAACTTCTAACCCCTCTGCACTCTGGCTACCTTTTATATCATCTCGCTAAAATGCTCTTTGTAAAAGTCACAAATCTCTCTACACTCCCTGCCAAGGCCAGTGACCGTATCCTGGTCCTCATTCCCCTTGACTTGCGTGAATTATCTAGCACTGCTGACATCTCCTCCTGCTTGAAATGGCCTGCTTTTTTTATTTTTTTATTTTGTGACACAATTCCATCCTCCTGCCTCTCCATATTCTACTTCCCATCATCAGTGACTACTCTTGGTCCCTCCACAATATAAATATTACAGATGCATGTCCCCACAGGTCAGTCTTTAGTCTTCCACTCCTCTTTTTCCATCTGCTGCCTTAGCATCTCAAAAACTCCCAGAACGAACTTCCATCTTTGTACCCTAAATCTCTCTCAGCCCTCACAGCACGTTTTAAACTGCCTCATGACCTGTTTCACGGGAATGTCCTTTAAGTACGGCAGTGGAATGTAGCCAAGAAGGAACTTCTCATTTCCTCCACATGACTCCAACAGCTCCTCCTCGCATTCTAGTATTGGTACCATCACTGTCTGGTTCTCTGCACGGGAGCATCATTTCCCCTCTTCCCTGGCCCCCGTATCTTGTCAGCAGAGGGATCAGTCTCACCAGGCTTCCTGTTTCATCCTCATCGTTCCCACTTCTAATGCCACCCTTTTCATCCAACAGCTTCCTATCTGAAGCATTACCTTGACACTCTTACCTATAAAATTCATCTCTGAATCTATTTTCCCCTCTTCAAAAACATGTAGAGGCTGCCCCAACGTCGCCCAGCTTCCTATCTAGCCTTACTTCACAGTTCTCCTCCACAAACATTTTGCTCAGTTAATCCAGAATGCTCACATTGCAAACGCGCCCCAAGTTTTCTCACTGTGACTTACATTATTACCTCCATTTTAACTACCAGTTCCTACAAACTATGTTTATAAATTTCCTCCCTCAACTTCCTCCTTGGCACCATGCATAATCCCCTCAAACTTAAGTTCTCTCTCACCCTTCTCTGAAGACTGAAAAATATTAACACCATTCTCTGTCACCTGCCACAAATCACCCTTACAAAAGTTGAGACCCTCCACAACAGAAGTGGGTTTTTCACATCTTTGCACATCTAGAGTAGCGTCCTCCACTCTACCATGCATGCGAATATTTGTTGAAGGGCTAAATGATCTTACAAGCCAAAATTCATATTCCATTAAGTACCATTTCTGCCAATTAACCAGCCTTTAAAGAGAAGCAGGCAAAACACAATAAAAACAGATAACGTCACACATACAGCAACTTAGAAGGAACCAACTCAATGCCCCATGCTTTCTACACTGACAGTACACCTACCCTAGAATGATAACCAGATACTAGTAGGCTCACTTCAAACAAAGAAAGTATATCAGACTTTCTGAACTACAAAAATGTTTTAGAAAAAGGAGAAGACCAGCTCATTTACTACCAAAATGGTAGGGGGAAGGCCTTCTATAAATAAATCTTATAAAATTTCCTGCATCACACACCAGGCCAGTTTATAGCTTCCAGAGGTGATTAACTACAATCACAGAGGAAACTTCTTAATCTGAAGGAAATTAAATAACAGAGCATTCATTCCAAAACATTTATTTTATCTGGAAGATACTCTCATGGTTGGTCAGGAGGCCAAGAAGCAGCCAGATAAATTACAATGTGGAAGATGGACTGGTTGCTCCAGTTAGGGATAAATGAAGTCTTCATTCCAGGAGTGATAAAGTCACTGCTTCTCTATAGGAAAGACGGGTGATAATCTCTCAAGGCATAGTGCACATGAGACAGCCTTTCAAAATCAGAAAATACGTTTACAAAAACATCTCTGCTCTTTCCTCAATACTGTTCACAGCTCAAAGCTTAAGCTTGGATAAAAACAGAATCATCAGAGATTAAGAAAGGCATTAAATTTTTTATTTTTTTAGTAACACAGACAATTAAGAAGCATTTGGGGCCGGCCGAGTTCATTAAGAGTTGGCTTGGGAAGCCAGCTTGGGACAAGCAGCAGGGCCCCGGTTCCCACATGGGCCAGTGATGCTTCGCCCTCTCCTCTACAGCTAAGGTAGTGAACAACAGCTCGACCTACAGCTGGGCTGCCATGAATCGTTGGCGATGGCGTAGGTTGCAGCCCCTGCTACAGTTGGCTGCTGTGAGCTACCGTGAGTGGCTGGCAGCCAGCGTGAGCTGCTGTGAGCTGCCATAAGTGGCCGTCCAATGGGAAGAGAGCGACTGCCTCACCCGGGAAGAGCACAATGATAATACCAACAGGGGCCAGTGAAGCAACATCCTCCACAACTAGACTGAAGAACAAAAGGACAGCAACTTGTCTGTTCCCCTCCCCCAGTTCCCCAATAAAATCTTAAAACAAAACAAAGAAAAAAATAAAGCTGAATTTATTAAAAAAAAAAAAAGAAGTGTTTTTATTGACTGACATGTAGCCATCCTTCAAGGGTAACATTTTAGAGAAAAATTATTAGGATTTACCTCAGTTTTTAAATTTGATATCAATTACAAAACTGTGCTTACCACTTTTTTCTCTGTCTTCTACACCTGGTTTCATTTGATCTACTTTATAGTTTCTCCCTTAAACTAGCAGAGATATAAAACAGGCATGCAGCTTCCACTCAGCCCAAAGTTGGGAACATGGAGAAATAGCCAATTACCTTAAAGACTTTCTGAAATAAGATTGCTGAATTCATATTCATCAAACAGCAAAAAAATACTGATAGATTTTCTGAACTGTTTTAACATAGAGTTAATTTGCTTTTATTTCAAAGCTCCACTAACTATGCTGATTAAAAAGTGTCTAAATAGATCTCATATCCCTGGCTTCAGATTTCACTCACTCAAGTGAGCACTAGGACAGGCAGAAATTTGAATTAAGCAAACTACTAGAACCCTGTGGATGGGCTTCACAGGTTTACTGCAGTTTGTTCCAGAATAAAAAACTAAAGAGAGGTACATAGACAACCAGAGAATCTGAACACAGGGCAATAAATCAACATTGGCTGTATCATACTGAGGAGACAAGAGGCTAAAATGTTTTTCTTCCAATGATTTTTACCACCTATAATAAAAAGTTAATTCCATTAATTTTAACATATTATTCGGACTCAAAAATATTATTTTCTCAGCCAGTAATATAACCACTACTAAAAATTAATATTAAAATAGAAGTTATATTGAGTTTCATTTTCCAACATTTTAACAAAACACTTCATTTACAATGTGACTTGAAATGGAAGAAAATACATCCAAGCGGGGCTCATAACTACAAGATCAACCCAAAATAAATGAATCCTGCTATTTTATTGCTAGCAGTAAGATTTTACTATATTTTTCAATAATAGAGAATGTACTTTTAAAAATGTATTAGTATTTTTACTAAGATTCATTAATATACAAACTTGTATTGCTGACTAAACTTGAGGACTAGGACTAGTGGTTATATTACTGTATTCAGAAGCAACAGACAAAATAAAATACAGAGTAAGTCAGGAACAGCCACAGAAACCGCAATAATGGAAACAGCTTACTTTGACGTGGCTCTGGGCTCCGAGGTTGTAGATCTCGGTAGGCTTGACTTCATTAATGATCTTCACGAGGCAGGTACTGTCAGTGAGGTCACCATAATGCAACTTCATGTCTTTAGGGTTCAAAACGTATCATTAGGTAGAAGAAAACAACATATGCCCAGTTTGTAAAATATCAAAATTGAAATGCATATTCCAAAAGTCTGAAAACCAGACTGGTTCTGGGGCAGCAGAGTCTTTAAAAATCTAAATAGCAGAAAGATGTTCACATTTGTTGCCTATGTCTCTACAGGATTTGTAAAAACTCAGACGAACTTTAAAAAAAATATATATCATGATGAATGTTATACGAGGTCAGACAATTAAGTTTGCAAAATCATCCTAGAGAAAGTGCTACATACCTCATTGCTGAATATCACTACAGTCACCTTCAAAGTACTCCCCTTGGGAAGCTATGCACCAACACCAGCACCTAGTCCACCCATCAAAGCAATTTTGGAACTCTTTTTCTGGAATGGCCATCAGAGCTGTTGTTGTATTACCTTTGATGTCCTGAATGTCATCAAAGTGTCTTCCTTTCAATATTTCCTTTATCTTTGGGTAAAGAAAGAAGTCATTGGGGACCAGGTCAGATGAGTAGGGAGGGTGTTCCAATACAGTTATTTGTTTACTGGCTACAAACTCCTCACAGACAGTGCCATGTGAGCTGGTGCATTATCGTGATGCAAGAGCCATGAATTGTTGGCGAAAAGTTAAGGTAATGTATCTTTTTCATGCAGCCTTTTCAGCACTTCCAAATAGTAAACTTGGTTAATTGTTTATCCAGTTGGTACAAATTCATAATAATAATCCCTCTGATATCAAAAAAGATTAGCAACATCGTTGCAGCAAGTTCGCAAACTTAATTGTCAGACGTCGCATACTTAACATATCTTATGGCTCACAGGTGCTTATATGTTACATAAGATTGAGATTCAGACAAAGAAAATCTCTCAGCAGTATGTATACTCTAAAGAACTCTAACACAATGATACAGGTGCAGGCCGCAATGTTCAGAGACTTTTATCCAGCCGTTGTTAAGTACTTCCTAAACATCAGTCCTTAGGCCACCCATGAGATGAGACACCTTCAGTAGTGACATAACTGAGTGAGGGACAACTATCTGTGTAACAAGAAACCGAAGCAGACCCTCACACTGACTTCATTGGTAGAAGGATCTGACACATATATGGGTGATTTACTGACGTGGTCTTTTCATTATTTTTACACAATCTTGTTCTATATCTAGATCCAATGGCAGTACCACTCTGTACTTTGCACAAAAATGATAATAATTTTCAACGAGGATGTAATGAATAACCTAAATATTAAGGTGAAAAGCTATTACTGGGGACAAGTAGGTCATCTTCCTGATGATGTCACTACCTATACAAGTGCCCCAAACCTTTAACTATTCCAGGCTCCGAGGTGAGTATAAAATCAATTGTGGTTTACAAGCTGACTGGATTGTCCTTGCTAGCTGGAAAAACTGGATAAGTAAAGCTGGGCAAACTTGAAATTAAAAAACCCTGTGTCATAGTCCCAACTCTGTGTTTTACACAGTGTGTGGCACTGATAAAGTCACAACCTCTCTCAGCCTTCATTTCCTCATCTGTAAAATGGTCTCATTCACAACTTCAGGGGCTGCCGGAAAGATCAAATGAGAAAACACTGTGACTGTGCTGTGTAAACTGTAAGGCTACAGGCAGGCAATTTATTAACAAAAATAACAAACACCTGCAAATACTGACAATGATCTGTAAAGCAATTAAATATAGTTTTTATTGCCATCTATTTTTGGACCTGTCTTTACAAATTATTTTTAAAAAGTAAATAAATGTACAAAGATTGCTTAACCTAATTAAATTAGACCAAACGTAGAAAGCAAGGGTGTTCTGTGAATAAGGAGCTTATCTTACTTGAGAGGACAGGGACACCTGGAAAGAGGTGATCAAAGGCATGTCTACTGTTGGTCTCTAGAGTGGCATCATCTGACTGATAACCTAGTAACAGCCTAACCAAGATGGCACTGTGACCTAGGAGCAGTGAAGCATATGGATAGCATTCAATGCAGGTAATTCAAAGGTAAATAACTGCAACTCGATGGGTTCGAGAAAAATGACATTTGAAAATACCGTTTAATATAGGAAGTTATAGAGATTTCAGAAAAAGAAAATTACTTACTTCCTTCAGTATGAGCCTGCGGGTTCTTATACAGATGTTCAATTCGACCTGTATTGAATGAACTGGATCGCCGTACAATTCCATGAACCTGTATTATTACAGTGTGGAAAGATAAGAATAAATTATAAATGTGCAACAAGGATTAATAAGCAACTCAGAAGTTCTTCTGCTAATGTTTAGCTTTGTGAGAAAATATATAACTATTATTTATAAAAATTATTTTTAAATTATTAGAAGTACATGTAATTCCACTGCTTACATTCTCCCCAACCACTGCCCTCCAGACCCCTTCACCCAACCTCCATCTTTCACCAGTGTTTTTACTACCAATCTCAACAAAAGTAATTAGATAATTATGTGACTTCACAGCAAATGCTAGTCGTAGATACTTAAATGTCTCCTTTTCCAAGCACACACACACTTACAGCCCTCGTGCTGACAAAAATATCTCTTACATTTGAAACTGAAGACAGGCCGCAAGAGGCCATATCAGGAAAACGGCCTACGGCCTCTTCAGCACAGGACCTGAGGCTGAGAGGCTCCGATGCCCACATCTTTCCAGGGTCCTCAGACCTTTGTGCCCTGCACCTGCTACATATATATATCTGGGTCACAAACAGAATCAGAGAGCAGTTGCTGTAACGCTGCTGTGTGGAAAAGTAAGAACGCTAAATAGCACCGGTTGGGGACAAGGCTTACATACTACTAGATTGAATATATAAAGAAAACTCAAATGAAGAGAGGATTTCTAAGCAAAAATTTTTATCTTTGACTTAACCATAATAAGTATAGGGAAAAAAAGTCATTAGAACAAGAAAGCATACCTGTCTAATAATGAAGAAAAGACTGTTTGTGTCTGATACATAAGAGAAATTATTCCAGACCTGATATCACTTCCTTCTTGTGTCAAGATTGCTCCCTTTGTATTGCCAATGCTAATACCAGTTTGTGTCACTGGCTGCCCAAGTTCCAGTTCTATTGGTAGCAGATTTAATCCTTCACTTATTTTAGAAGTGTTCCTTCTAATGTTAGATAGTCTCATTTGCAGCTGAAAACACTCCTATATTTTAACTCAATCGTTTTCTATTTCAAACCAAAATTAATCCTTGGCATGACTCAAATATTCCAAATACAAGGAGAAATTATAAGCACATAAGACTTTCTTTCAAAAGAAAGAAATGCCGTTATCATTTTACATGACATACATGAGAAATTGACATCTGCAAAAAGGATATAACACACCCACAACTAATAATTCTGTTAGTTGCTTTAGCCAAAGAGAAAAGCACTCATCTGCTCTATTTTTCAAAAGAACTAAACGTAAGAAAGTTTGGTAAACATGAAAATATTTTAAGAAGAGAACATTGCAACCTTGGTTGACATTTTAGGAGGTAAACAGTAAAATCTTGGAAACATTAAATTGAGATTTGGGTTTACATACCAATTTCTTAATTTAGAAGTGAAGAAAATAATACATTAAGCTTAGGATTTATTCTATTTAATGGTTTCCAATTTTTCAAGTTTGTACTTAATTGTAAAGTTAAACTGCTCTGCAAACTAAAGAAATGTGGTTTTTTTTTAAAATAAAAACAAGGTCATGTATACACTTATACATAGCAAAATTGGTGTTTACTACCAAAGTTATTTCTGAACAACAGATTGCTCAGGTGCAAGTAGAGCTTTATTTCATTGGATAGATAGGAATTTAAATGTTCTAAAAACAGAAAATTTAACCTGGACAATAAAAAAAAAATAAAAATATGAGATTGGCAATAAAAACACTGGTGAAAGATGGAGCATGTGTGCTAGTGGCCTATTTTTTTCTCTTGATTGTTGAAATTCTGGGTAAGTCACATATTCCAGCAACCCAAAACAAAGAGAAATGCCATATACATACACATTGTATATAAACATGTGTCTCATAAAAAAGTTAAATGACATTAATTCAGTACGAAAATCAGACAACTATACAAAGTCACAGCAAATAAGTAACATAGGACTTATTGTCACACTCATGACAATAAAGCATTAAGCGCTAGTTTTGGGGGGTTTTAATACCAAAAGAAGGTATTTTAATTTCGCCTCAATCCCATCTTGTAGTACATGTATACAGGGAAAGAAAGACCTGCCAAACACTTAATCCATGACAGCAAGCATTGTCCTAAGAACTAATGAAAGCTAAGTCTGTCTGCGTTGAGACAGGTGAAATACAAACTTTAAGACAAGCCAAAATGTGTGCAAACTGGGTGATCCAGTTAAGAATATGAGATTAGCGGCTTTCTCTGTACAGGAGGGATGTATGCAGGGTTTTTTGTTTGTTTTTATAAGGATTTTGGGGTAAAAAGAGATGAAGTGTTAGAAAACCAAAGTGAAAAGATAAATGAGCTGAATGTGAGTCCATATAAACTTAATCACAATCATTATTAAATTACAGCAGTTCAAAAACAAAATATAATTCTGAAAAACTGAGGCCTTAAACAGAAGTATTTTGACAAATAAATTTCATTTCCCATTTAACTAAATGATGAAAAGGAAAACTGCAAGTTCTCTCAATGTCAGAAAAAAGTTGGTTTGAGTTCAAAACCTAGTCAGATTAGGTAATACTTAGAGAAGTCCTCTCTCTCACTTCCCTCTCTCTCTCCCTCTCTCACTTCCTTTCTTCCTTCCTTCCTTCCTTCCTTTCTTCCTTCTTTCGTGTATGCATGTATGTATGTATATATGTTCAAGAAAACAAAATTTTTGCCACTGGATTTGAAATCATTCAATGTCTAGATTTTTATTGGAGGTGAGGATATCTTCCAGGGATGCTTAATGCCACCTGCCTTTTGAAAAATACAGATTACGTGGGTAACATCAACAGCTAAAACATACCTGGCAGTGACCATGTGCCAGACACTATTCTTCATGATCATTAAATCACTTCACCTTCACAACAAACTTCCTATTACTGGTCCCACTGTACAGATGAGGACACTGTCTGGGACCACACAGCTCGTATGGGGTCATGTGAAAGGGCAGACATGGGCCATCGTGCCAACACTCAATATGGTTTCAAAATGAAATCCAGGAAAAGCTTTGTCTTTCTTTCACAAGGTTTCTGGGATATCCAACAACCCAGGGAAAATATTTCAAAGATTCTCACAGATCAAGAACAGAGGAATAGAAACTCCCATGTTCTAAAGAATAATTTCTGAGATAACAGTTGGACAATCCTTATTTCCCATTTCTTTTCAGTTCTCCTCATCTCCCTAGTTACAGTTCTTTTCCTGGAAGGGAAACCCACAGTTTGCCTGTTCTTTATTTTCAATTATGATACACTGTGTTATAGTTGTTACCAAGTCATTTAACATAGACTTTTAATATGTTCCCTGGCTTCTCTCTGTATTTTGTGCAAAATGGGACCAGAAGTATGTTGTGGGCTTATCTGCTAACAATGATGCTAGGAAGGCACTTGAAACAAGAATGCAGTTTCCTAAGAAGCTTCCCTGCTGTCCATGTTCCTTTTCCCTTATGATGACAAGGAAGGTGCCTAGGGCAAGGGTCCCAGGCAATGTAACATGTCCGCCTTTCACCAATCCTCATTCATGAACTGGATTAAGGAGCCCTGTACAACACTTGTATCCCTCGGCTTGTCAGCATCAAGCACTGTGTCACCCTGCCACTCCTGTGTCAATAAGCCCAGAGAGCCCACAGACTAGCTCCTCTGGACTGTTTTCCATGGATTCTCTGACAACCTTGAAAAACAGGTATGTCTAGTGTCCCCATTTGTGTGAAGAAAAGAGGTCTTACAGAGGTCCAGTGACTTGGCCAAGGCCACAGAGTCAACAGGTGGCAAAAGAGAAACAGGACACAGGCCACCCAGCACCAACAGAGCCCAAGGAATTCCTCTTCACGCCAGCTCAACTGCCTCACCCGCTTCCCTTGCACGGAGCTGGCTGGGGCATAAAGGAGAGTTACCCTTTGCACTTCAACCATGTATGGAACTAAATATATAAAGTTTTAAAGGGTTCTTTTCTATAAAACCTGACAACTCTTAGTTTTCCTCATCATGAAATGATACCTATAATCTATAATGAACTAGTGTTAGATCCATTCTCTTTATGTTCTCCTTAATGTTTAATCTTGAGTAAAATTCAAGAAACAAGCAACATTAAAAACTGTAATTTTAGAGTCTCTTCTTAATGAGAACTGGACCAGGCATGAAGTACTCCTTCTCTTTTTTACCTTAAATAGTTCATTCAAAATGTGATCAGATGCATGGATCTCCATGGCCACATCAGATGACCAGGCCCCACAGCTTCAAAGACCCAATGTGTGAGGTCAGACAAGGTATGACTAATCAGTCTATGAACACATGGTATTCTTTTTCAAGTCACACACCGATGTGTGGTTTTGCTTTAAGGCTGGCCAAACTTTTTATACCTTTACTTTGCTTTTTGGATTGAAAAGGAATATATCTAACTGTGCTATGCGAACTCTATGCAGGGTTTGTTCCTGCCTATGCAGCCCCACCATCACTACCCAACCCCGTCTTCTCTTTGACTTGCTTCCCTCCAGTTGACTGTTACTTCCCCATCTTCATACGGAAAGGATGACCTTGCCATGATAGACAGTTCAAGTTTGCCCCTTTCTTTTCTGGGAAAAACTCCGCCTCAGTCTGATGCCTAGTTATAGAATACGTAGTTTTTCCCAGTGTTTATTTCCTCCTGGCTTGTCCTCTGCTGCCTCGAAGTATGTTGTTTCCAGTTACTTCTGAGCCTAGTGATAGTCCTCATACAAAGACTCCAAATAATATGAGAGCTCAGAGAAGCAAGGCCCCACAGATTACGGTATCTTGTGATTAAATGATCTCATTTGAACCTTGGGTTGCCGTAGTTCTGAAACTGCAGCACCCAGGACAGCGGCATCAGCAGCCACGGAGGCTCATTAGGAAGGCCGACGGCGGGCCTCTGCGTCTTCATGGGCTCTGGGGGACTCGGGCTGAGAACCTACTGAGTTAGGAGTCTGTTCTCATCCAAACTGCTGGTGCTGACCCTGTCAATTCAGGTTTGGACAAGTGTGGCCCCTCTTATCCTACTGCATGCAATTTACTAACCCTGCTACTTTGTTCATGGTCCTGAGCAACCAGGGTCTGAATGCTGGCTGATAATTCTGGAAATTTTCCAATGCAGCTTCTTCGAAAAATCATTCACATTTACTTTGCTGTAAGCAGAGAAAGACAAAGCCTGTGCCACTATCAGATTTCTCTTAATAGCTTATCCTCCAATTATATCAATCTCTTAAACTGAACACAGAAGCCTATTTAAATTGAAGACAGTATGGATTAACACCCTTTCTCTCCCCCATTCCTACAAAGCTCACATTTCCCTGTGCTATGAGGAGGAATGCTTCTGGTTATACTTTGCAGCTCTGTACCTTCCACCTGAATCGTCTAGAGCAGCGGTTCTCAACCTGTGGGTCGCGACCCCTTTGGGGGTCGAATGACCCTTTCACAGGGGTCGCCTAAGACCATTGGAAAACAAAAAGATATTTACATTACGATTCTTAACAGTAGCAAAATTAGTATAGAGTAGCAACGAAAATAATTTTATGGTTGGGGGTCACCACAACATGAGGAACTGTATTAAGGGATCGCGGCATTAGGAGGGTTGAGAACCTTCTAAAACTAAAGTATTTGTTTCTATCCGTTTATGGAGCTCTCTCCTAAACTTCTCTTGCCAATCATTGTTTCAGTGATTCATTCCTCCCATTACCTGTGGCCTGCCAAGTGGGCCTGCTATTGTCTGTCGGTATCAAAATTAAATCTGCTCTTAAAATTTCAAATGCCAACAAAACAAACACACTGTAGTTCACCTGGCACTCCTAGGTTCTCATTACATTTATTTCTAAGACTCCCATCCATTTAGGAACGGTACTACCTGTCTTCTGAAGTCACCTAGCTCCTTCCAGAGCCACCTAGATGGAGCTCTGCCTCTCCGTGCATGTCTGCTTCCTAGCCTTGCCCAGCAGCACTAACAGCAGCATCCTGATGACTGTGTGTTTATGTCAACCACAACCAGACCAACCCAGGCCCAATCGCTAGCACCTACCTCATCACTAGCCCCCATCCATCGCTAGTGCCACCTCATCACGGAGACCTCACACTGCTGTCCCTTTTTCTCTGGTCTAGCAACAGATGCTGTTTGTTCCCACCATCCTCATCTCAAGTCTCAGTCCCCCACACCCACCTTGAAGGAGATCTTGACACCTAGGCAGTTCAAGCATTCCTTCTGATACACCACCTCTCTTCCAAAACCACAGTGACTGCGAGGGAGTTCAGGGCACACTATCCCAAGGTACGGCACCTTGACATGTTGACCATTTGAAGCTGAAGGAATTTGAGAAAGTGGCAGAAGCAGGAAGGCCACTCTGACCCTCCTGCTACTCTCCCCACAAGCAGTCATAAAAACCTCATGTGAGAGGTGCCTCCTTCACAGGAAAGGACCATCCTTATCTTGGAAAACAAGAAGAATTTGAAGCAACAGACCTTCCATAGTTTCCCCTAGTTTACTACACTTACCTCACCCTCCTCGACCTACCATATTTTTACATGACTGTCCACTCTCCGTCAAACCTAACATAAAAATACTCAGGCTTACCTGTTTCTTCGGATCTTCATTTCCTCATTAAAGCTCCCTGTCATGTAAAATTCACATTAAATAAATTTGTATGCTTTTCAGTTTAATTTTCAGACCCAGCCAGAGACCCTAAGAAGGTCGAGGAAACTTTTTCATCCTCTACATTAAACTGACAAAGGCAGATTTATGGGAGAAGCTTCTGCTATTTTCTCAAACTCCTTCTGCTGTCTTCTCAAACTCCCTCAGCTTAAAACATTTACTATTCTGTATTTGCGGGTAGCATGTCCTGAACCTCATCAACTATTACTGTTAGCTCTTTCTCTTGGTTTACTCAATATACAGCCAAATCACTAAGTGCTCTCTAACCACCAAAAACCTCTCAGCCAGTCCCAACATCTGAAACAAAGGTTTGCCTCTCTGCCAAAGCTCTCCTTTTAGATTTATTACATTATGTTAATCTAGCCTGAATAAAAAACAGCCTGTACCCAAAACCAACTCTTCTGCATTACATATAATATGCCTAAAATCCACTGCTCTATAGAATATGTATTCATTGTTCAATTATTGTAAGAATCTATGCATATGAACATCTGTGTACATACATAATTACATTGTCTTATTTTGACTTTATTGCAAGATATAAAACTAGTTATTAGATAAAGGTGCAGAAGGCACTAAACTTATCTGCTATTACTTCTTAAAGTCTAAAAGTCAAGGCTCTCTGAAAAGATTATGAGTTACTGTAAGAAAATTAGTTTCCTTTTCTTCAAATCCTGTTGGTGTTTGATGTCAAATTCCTTGCTGTTGTTTATCCATTTACCCGCAGTGCACATTTTTTAAACAATGTACCTCTGATTGAGATAAACAGAGAATCTAAAATTATTATTGTAAACACTCCCCCATCAGCCCAGAGCATAGGGGACACTGTGTAGGTTTTTGTTCCTTGCATAACATGAATTTATATAGATGTACATATCTGAAAACTGTTCTTTAAAAAGGTCAGATGTACACACCAAGCTACATCAACTTTAATATATAAAACCCTCACTTCTTTTAAGGAAAGCAGAAAATTTTGAAGGAGTAGATGGAAGAGGAGAAAAAGAAGACACAATGGCAGTGATGACAGCAGCAAACCCAGAAGTTTCAGCTTCCATAAAATATTGGGCTGTTGGAAAAGTTATGATGCATTTTTGCAACAAAAAACATAGAAAAAATACATCATGACTTTTCCGACAACCCAATATATAGCTAGCTATTAGAAAGCAAAATCTGTAAGTGTAAATTTTCATTCAAGCTTGCCAAAGATCAACTTAGTTTTTACTGCTCTGTGCAATTTCCGAATTAAGTGACTTCACTGTAAGTAGGACTTTTTTATGTAACACATTACATCATAAATTAACCCTAATAATGTTATAGCTTCTAGCATATACAAGTTGCTGCTTTATCTGAGAATGTGGGAAGCATGCAAAACAATTAAACACTGAGGAACAGTGGGAAGCCACCCGGGCTCAACAGCAGATAAATAGTACAATGAGCTGGCATGGTGACAAGTAAAGAAGCACATTCTTCTCTGATTTTGATTTGTTATCGTAGTTTCAGTGGAAAACACACACAGGACAACGGCAGCAGAGGAAGCTGGAGGCCACTGTGTCCGAGTGATTCCGCCAGCCTGTGCTTGCTCACTGGGTCACTCACCTCATAGCCCTTCTCCAGCAGGAACTCGGCCAGGTAGGAGCCATCCTAGGAAAAGAAGAATTGACAAATGTCAGGCCCACCATGGCGAATCAACAAGGCAATCAAGGCTCAGAGTTTGGAGAAAAGCATTTAAGAGGCTATATGAACATAAATTAAGGATTATGGCAAACAAAACAAAAGTAATACAGATGATGATGGTAAACACCATTCACTGGACACTTTCATAGACATTGTTTCATTTGAGCACCACAGAAGCGGTAAGAGTCTTGTCACTCTCATATTCACAGAGAAAGAAACCGAAACCCAGGCTGTTACTAGGGGGCAACAGAGACGACGGGATGCTTCAGAATTGGGTAGACGCAGGTTTAGGCTTTGCCACTTACTAGCTGTGTAAAGTATGCAAAATACGTGAGGCAAAGCAGAAGGCCTTGGTACTGGAGGAACATGAAACAAAAATCCAACTGATGCTGGGGGACCATAGAAAGGGCACTGCTGGGACGGGAAGAGATGGTGGCTGTGGGGCTAGGGAGAGGGCAGGGCAGGTGTAAGGAAGAGGCAGGGACCCAGAGTGCTGACAGTGCTGAGAAGACACCGTGGGGAAGAGGAAGAGGGCACCTCCTCAGCGGGAGGTCCTTATGGGCGGGGCGGGGCGCGGGGGTGGAGGGGGGAGAAGGTTGCTTCTAACCCAGGTATTCTGGAAAGTCACTAAAGAAAGGGTTTTAAGGTGGGAGTCAGGGTGGGGGTGTGGACATGTTTAAATTTATATTATTATTATTATATTTATATTATTATATTTATATTAATATGAATATTCTGTGCCCATGCACATAAACTCTAAATAAAAGGAGTGTGTTAACCTTTTATAAAATAAGTGCTTCATTTGTATGCATCTTAAATCATGCAATTAATCTTTACATTCAGAAGAAGCTAACTAAACACAGATTTGCAACTGGTTTTTAATAATTCTTGAAAAAATTTTTAGGTAAGAGGTGAATATTCCATATGCCACTTTTAGGGACAGAAAGTATGGCAGTCATCTAATTCAACTATTAAGAAGATAAACGGTGACAAACCACCATTCTAGAGGTTCTATAAAAAGTCACCAGCCTTGCTCAGAAAACGAATTGCATAGACATTTTACAAGTAATCCTGTAACAGCTCATCTGCTTTTAGTCCAGGTAGGTCCCCTTCAACCATCCACGCTTAAACATAAAAATGGGGGGATCCAATTACTAGAAATTTGTATACTCAAAAAGTAGTTGGGAATATTTGGGTTTTCTTTAGTTATCTCCATTTGAAAAAGCTTAAAATATCCCTTTGAGCTTCAATTTTTCCTACCAGATATACCAGGAAAAATGAAAGTGAAGGCCATATAATTACCCTTACTTGCCTGAAGGCTGGAAATGGAGACACCTCTGGGTCCTGAAAATGACGGGACTGCCAAGAGAGTGTTCACTACATTCATGCAGAAGGCATACTGAAATTCAGGCAGGATGACAAAACTCCAGCAGATTTTGTTCTGATTTCTTGACATAAATATTCTGGTTTGGGCCAGCCCAGTGGCTCAGTTGGTTGGGAGTTGGCTTGGGAGCGCGAGCTCTGAATGGCATGGCCGCCGGTTCGATTCCCACATGGGCCAGTGATGCTGCGCCCAAGCTGAGCTGCCGCTGAGCTGCCAACTCATGTGGAGAAGAAAAGGTTTGACATATTCCTTTTCCTTTCAATCTTATGATATACACAATTGCATAATTTTTGTATGTCCAATATGCAAACTAAATCAGATAAGAGGGCTAATTAGACTAGGACAAGCCAGGTCACTACATGACCATCGGGAATGTGACAATAGTCACTAGTGTTTAAATCAATCAGTGAGAAAACAGCTTAACAGAAAAAGCATTTACAATAAGAATAATAATTTGGAAAGCCCTAGAAAGTATGTTTTGTTTTGTTTTTCTTGTTGGTGTTGTCATTTTGAATCAGGAAATACTATACTTTTCATGTTTTATAATTTCTCTCGGAATAAAAAGTAAAAATGCTTTATGTTCTATCATGGTTGTACAGAAAGTTTTCAGGTTGTTTTTTAAAGGCAGAGGTGAAAGTGCTAGAGATCCATGGGGGCAGGGAGAGCTGTGATTATTTAGAAAGCTGATGTAAAACAGACCTGACCAGGACCAAACCCTGTCAATAAGGTCTTGTTCTTCTCACCCAGGCTGCCTCTCAAAGTTTCCAACCACACTGGAACATTCTGAACTAGCAGTGGCATTCACTTCCTCCACACTTCCTTGCCAGGTCTCTCAAGTGATAGGGCCCGGGCTGCACAATGAGTGGGAAATGGAGCAGAGCGAGGTCTCCTGGTCTCTGGCCCAGGGAGTCCAGCTGGCCTCCCTTCGTCCTCTCCCCAGGTCCCTGAGGGGACTCTGTGGGAAGACACAGAATCTAAGCAGGCAGGCATCCACCACGCCAGTGGGATTATTGTTTCTGCCTCCTCTGGTAGAACAGGGCTGTTGGAGAAAGCTTCAGTCAGACTAATGACTGAAATGTCATGGCAGCTGAGAACCTGCAACCAACATTCAATTCTGACACAACTCTTCAGAAATCAAGGAACTAATGGACTAAAGTTCCAACTTACTCATGAAGAACACAATCTGATACAAATTCCAGCCTGGGATCAATCCTGTTACAAAAAACTTTTTAATTGGAGAAATAATGTCCCAATTGTGGCTCTTAAATTTAATTTTGCACGTGGTTATTAAGAGTATCCATTTCATAGTAAATGCTATAGAGTTTTAAGTAATCACCATGGCTTTAACATTTTCAAGACACTCAGCCTAGAAGGCAGGCAGCCATTTGGCTCCTGAGGTAACCAAGGCACGTGGAGGTGGGCCAGCTCGCCTAACATCACACTACCAGAGATGGAACCAGGACGAGAATCCACGTCTGCCCTTATTCTAACCCAGGAAACAAGCTCCTTCCTCCCTCCTCGACCTAGGACCTACCGAAGCATGTCAAAACCCAACAAAATAATGAAAGGCCATAAGCGGATTCATTTTTAAGCCAAACTGATTTAGTCGATTTTCCATTACAGGGTGTTTTAAATGGATGAAACCGTGCTTCTAGTTTTAATCAGGTGACTCAAACCCAGAGATGTCACGTAATTTTTGAACACCTCAGAGCTGAGAGGAAGGGGACAGGACACGGCATCTGAGATCCCTCAGGTCTTACGTGGGCATGTGCACTACTTGGGAAGCGGGACAGTACTGTTTAGAGATGGCCTTGGATTTGTGGTGGATGGATGTCAGGGCCAAAGGAGCAGGGCCACTGTCCAGGGTCCCAAAAGGCCAGATTTAGGTTTGTCTGGTGCCTATAGGTCCTGTACTTGGGAATCTCCGTTCTTCACCTTTCATAGAGTACTCAGAAATGTTCCAGATAAACAGCCATAAAAATTAAGAGTAATTCCAGAAACTAACTGAATTACAACTTAACTATAATATGAAAACTGCCTAAGATTTCCCATTTATAGAAAGCTGAAGGAGGGCTGGCTGAGTGGCTCAGTTGGTTAAGAGTTAGCTTGGGAGCACGAGCTCTGAGCAACAGGGCCGCTGGTTCAATTCCCACATGGGCCAGTGACACTGTGCCCTCTATAGCTAAGATTGTGAACAACAGCTCCACCTGGAGCTGGGCTGCCGTGAGTGGCCAGCAATGGCGTAGGCTACAGTGGGCTGCTGTGAGCTACCTACCGTAAGTGGCCGGCAGTCAGCAAGAGAAAAAAAAAAAAAAAAGCTGAAGGAAGCACAGAAAGTTCCCCCAATCTCAAAGGCACTGATCGACCTTCATATAACATATATCCTACATCCAAACATATACATGCCAGGCAGCCTGCCTTCCTGCAGAGGAGAGAGGCTAGCATTTTGCTTCTCTCTTCAAAAATGAAGGTACTTACAGCCCAGAAGGACAGATGAACAGGATACCTTCTTATACGCAATTTGAGAACCTGCTCCCCCTGAAATGCACACTGAATTATACTGTATGTTTCTGCCTAAGCACCTTTTGGCAGCTTCTTTGAACAGGATAAGATAAGTAGTATTGGGCTAAAAGAATCATGCCACTAATAAAATGAATTTCTTTGTTTAGGCCATCTCAAGCATCAGGAAATAGAATACGTGCTCCTTCTTTAAGAAGAGAAAGCACTAATTTACACCACCTTTTCTGCTCTTTAACTCTATGTATTCTAATTACCCTAAAATAAGCATCTTTTCAGTTAATAGCAATTACAGTATGAAAGTAATCAATATCTCCAATAAGAGAGACATGAACACCTCAATAATTAACAGAGGACATACTGTTTTGAATAAGAATGAAAAGTTCCAATGGGAAGATTAGCCCATGCAGTGTGAAGAACCCAGAGGCAGGATGTATTTGAAAAGTATTTTAACCTGGCTCATGTTTGTAACACAAATCACTGGATAAAATTTCTGTCAGACTCACAGAATTCAAAAGACCATAGGGATTAATTAATTCAACTCTCTCGGTTTATAGATCAGGAAATTGAGATTCAAAACAGTTAAATGTTTAGTGTAGTCACAAAAAGCAGCAAAACCTGTACAAAAAAACAAAACAAAAAAAAACAAAAAAAACCACGGGTCTCTGGACTCCCCGACCTCAGATATTTTCACTAAAAAATACAGTGAAAAGCTCTAAAATGAAGAGGCTGGATTAATGTCTACAGTTGAGAAGCATGTAAAACACATCAATGCATCAGCCTATTGAAGAATAAGAACAAGCCAACAGTTAGCAGTAGAGTGAGAATTAACAGATTGACTGGAAGACAAGATATAAGGTCACCATCAATACATAAAGCATATTATATGCTTTGTATAAATAACTGCCATCTCCTGTAGTCTTTAAAGTTGAAACATTTCCTCATAAAAACTGCAGTAGCCAAAGAATTGACTTTCACTTCCTTCTATTTATCTCTTGGTTGAGAGGAGGCACAGTAATACAGAAATGTGATCAACAAACTCTAAATAATAAAGAATTGATTGTGC